TGTAATCAGTTTCTGTCTGAGTTCCAGAAATGCAAAGATACTGAACGGAAAGAGGTGGCAGCTGACAAAATTGCTGTCTTTGACCTTCTGAGGCACACTTAGTAACGAATCTGGAAAATAATGAACTACAATTAATGAGACCCGCACCCGTGTTCAAGTGTGTCTCACAGACAGCACATACAGTAATTGAAAGGACTTCCTGCTCTCTAATTAGTCGGATTGAATTAATTTGCCATGATAGCTCTCTTCACATATCTGGAAGTCTGTGTTCCCATGAAGCTGTTGGTGTGCCTCCAAGCTTGAGACTCCAAGTGGAAGCATTGATTAATCTAGGGGATGAAAGGGTTAGCGTCAGATTGACTTCCCACCAGCACAAGTGAGCTCTCTTCTGGCCTACCTTTTTGCTTCTACCCCTTTGGGTAGTGTGGCTGTGTTGACTGCGGGGCCTTTTGCTTTTACTTCAGCCTAGCTGCATATGCCACAGGCAGGGGAGGTTGTGGGCTGCTTCAGAATAGGGAGTTAGAAAGTCAAGTCCATGTGCTGGAATGCTCCCACTAGCTGGTCTGAAAGGAAGATTCCAGAAGGCAAAGGGAAGACTATTCAGGTATACATAAAGCCCTCATGGGGATTGTTGTGTTTGTCAGTGAGCTCATCACCTCCTGTAATTGACACTTGGATCCTGTGATTGGCAGAGCCATGGGGAGGCAGGGCAATAGTGCATTTGACAAGGACCTGTAGTGATCAGCCCACCCCACCCCACATGTGATCACCTAGAGAATACACGTGGTTAGTTCACCAGCTTCATATGTGTATCCTGTGCTGGTGACAGAGTAGTCCAAGGACATTGTGTCTGTCAGAACACCCACTTGTCCATTTGAAATAGAACCATCAGATGGCTAAAATGCTAGCACCATCATGGCTGACACACTCCATCCATATCACCCTGACACATAGAGTGTAAAGCAAGCGGGAGGTAGCTATGGGAACATAGATGTGGAGGACTCCGGGCACCGAGGCTATCAGTGCCACCAGGGCTCACCTGGGATGAGGCCAGAGCCTTTCCTAAGCATGCCTCTGCCCTCACTGCAAGCAGAGCCCCCACTCTGATAAGGGTAGCTCTTAGACACAGGCCTCCATTGATGAGCTTATGGCTGAGGCTTGGTCCTCAGCAGTGTGTGCATCTGATCTCCCCACCAGGCACTACTTTTATCAGACTTTTTAAAAGCTAGCTATTTCTAATTCCCTGTCCCTTCCCCCCATGTCTAGACTTTGCTTAAAATTTTCTCATGTCATCAGGAAAGTGAGATGCTGACTTCTGATTATTTGTAGAAAAAAAATACATATATATACAACTCTTATAAGACTAATTTCTCCTAATCAATTAAAGAATTGATTAATATATATGTAAGTATAAGCCAGGTATTATGTTAATTTAGGCAACATAATTTTGATCAAACTCAGGATAGTAGGCAAATATTAAAAAAGGTTTATAAATATGAAAAATGTACATGAAAATTCAATATTGTTTAAGTTTAAAGTAATTAATTTTTCCTTTGGCCAATCTCTCTAGTCCCCTTTACCTGGCCTTATAAGCTAAAATCTACAAGGATCTGGATTGTCCCACCATCTCTCTTATTTTCTGTGCTGTGTGTTAAGTAACTGATATATGTGTTTCCTCATTCAGAAAACACAACACTCATTGATGCCTTCCTAAGAGTAGAGGGTAAGATGTTCCTTCTGAGCTCCACAGACAGAGGCACAGACAGTGCAGGGTCCTGGCTGGTGCTGCCAAATATGTGTGTTTGAGGCATAGGGAAGGGAATGGGCATTCATGAAGCCAGGGCTAACACTTTGAGGGCGAGCTGTGACTCAGAAATGCCTAGCACAATTTCCCTGAAAAATTGCCAGGCTGTGGTGGCTGAACATGGGTCTGTTGGGTCTAGCAATGCTCAGCAGACTATGCAAAGGCTCCTGTGTGTCGCCAACTCAAATCCAGCCACAGTGCTCTCGGCAGTGGGTTATGCTTCCTGAGCCCTGGTTCTGGAGCGGGAAACATATAATTATATTCACCCTTCTCATGGGACTTCTTAATATTTATGGTTGTGAAATACTGTGCAGTCGTTTTTATTAATAGTTACCAGATGTGTCATAAGGATTAATGAATTTACGATCTGAAATGTTTTGAGCTCCTGAAATAGAGGCAATGTCTGTGCAGGGAATATGGAAAAGAGCATTAAAATACAAACGGTTGAGCTTGGAGGGTGGAGCTATTATGTGTGAAGGAGCAGTTGCTCACACAAAGTCTGGTGTAGTTTGTAGATGGACCTTCTAGGGACTGCCGAATTCATCACAGGCCGTGGTTAAACACGGGGGCTCAGCAGGCCCACGGTGCCTACATTGTGGATGCACACAGGGACTCTGCCTGTCTCCTCTCAGGGTGGGTGCTGTCTTTCTAACTTCACCTCCGTCCTGTGTCCGAACTCCCGTTTCTCTTTCTTTTTCTTCCTGTCTAAGTTCAGGCTCTCAGGAGCCCTCCATGGAACCACTGAAAGAATTTCCTAATTGGTCCTTTCATATCTAGTGTCTTCCCTTTCTAACCAATCTCCCTAAGGAATCATTCCCCTCACTGTCACTGATTTCAGAACCAGCAGCAGTTGTTCATGGACTCATAACACCCCTCCCTTCCAACCCTCCTCCCCTGCTGGGGCTGCTCTTCTCCTGGAGAGAGCTGACTTCCCTGCTGCCTGCCACAATGCTCAGGGTGGCCCCACAGCCACTTGGGATCTCTCTAATCCCTTCTCCACTGAGTCCCCTCTGCCTTAGGACCTTCCAGGCCAATCCATCTCACACTCTTCATTTTAGTTACTTGCTTACACACCCCTTCCCCACACCAGATCACCACTCCCTGGTGAGAAAACACATGCGGACATTTAGACCTGCCGAGTCTGCAGAATGGTTTCCTATGGGACCCACGTCTTGGTCTGTGTCCTCAGTTAATTTCTACAGCTGTTTTGTTAGGGAGCCATTAGAGTTTGCAATTGCTGAGTCATGGGGAAGAGTGTGAGCATGCTTTCATGCTCAATATCATGTCAGCAAATGTCCATGCTCGGTGGCCACCATTTCATCCTGCTAGGCTTCTACATTTTCATTCTCTAATGGCAACAGTTTTCATCTCTGGGAGACAATTCCCCAGTCCAATCTCATCTATTTTCAGTCAGACCTAACTAAAGAATGAAACTTGTAGTCTGAGCATGAAAAAAACCTTTTGCTGTCTTTACTAAGAACATATCTTGAAAACCTTTCTGTTTGTGTGGGACTTAGGGTCTGTGGAGAGAAGAACAGAGGCGGCATCAAGTCCCCTGGACTTCAAGGTGGAGTCATGAAGACTGCTCCATTTTCAGAATGTCAGCTGGCCTGAGGGCTGGGAGCTGGGAGAGGTGGTGCTAAAGGCACAGAACCTTTTTTTTGTGGTCAAGGCATGGAGGAGGTGTCTGGGGTCTTGGAGTTCAGGCTCTTGCGACTGCATGGCAGTGACCCTGCTGCTGCAGGACAGCCTCCCTTGTCCCTTCTCTCAGCCACCCATGCTCCTAGCTCCCCTGGCTTTCACCCCCAGTGTCTGCAGGGTGAAATGTGTATTCCTCTGCCGACTCTGGTCCTTCCATCCTACTCCTTTCTGCATTCTCCTCAGCACCTTCTCTGCACCATCCCATCCATCACTGTGAGGAGAAAGGCTCTGTGGTGGTACTTACTTTCTAAAAGCAGCCCTGTGGCTGTGGCATCACCTTTGCCAGAAAGTGCTGTGTTATTTATAGTTATAGGGCGGTAGGCAGTCATGCTTGGGCCTGAAGGCCCTGTGTAGACAGTCAGAACTACTTGGAATTCTCAGGACCTAAGATCCTGGAAAGTAGAAGGAATTGGACAAGGCTTGGGCAGTTCACATTTCTGCTGTCTTTGGTACTGAGCAACCAGCCATAATCCCTGGCTTTTCTTCCCTCGGGTCCTTTAGTAAATCCGTCAACCTTTCGAGGTCAGAATGGTGACACAGAGTCAGTAGAAGAGCTGTGGCCAGCATTCATCCCTCCAGCTGGAGTTAAGCCCATGCTTGCCTGCCTTGCCTCTGTGACCTTTTCTAGTGCTGAGAGCGCAGAGTGGGAGAAGGGGGCACCCGAAGCCAGAATTGGCAAGAGCTCGAGGCAGAAATGGTGGGTTCCTGGTTTCTTCCAGAGACCTTCACGCTGCTGTCTGCCTCTGTCCTCCTGCTGTGAACTCATCGTAGATGAATTCGGTTCCTGTTCCCTCCTTCTGACTTCATGTTCTTAACAGATTCTTAGCGTTCCTCTAACGCTCCTTGAATCGCGTGTCTGTAAGTCAAGAAGTCTTCTGCTGTGGTGTTTCACCCGCTCCTTCAGGCTCTTCTCCCCTCACCTGCTCTGGTGCGGCAGTCTTCTTACAGGAATGTTTGCTTGAGCTTGTGCTGTCTGTCCAGTCTGCATTGCTGTCAGGGAGGTAATCTGACTCTTGGCTGCCTTCCGCTTTGCTCAGGAGACATTTGACCTCCTCTTCCTCTAGCTCTGTTAGCTTTGGTTGCCCAAGGCTGCTGTATGTCCTCGTCTGCTTGGTGCTCCAGCCAGAAAAGCTTCCTTCCTTCTCAGTCCTGCAGCGTGTGTGCTCTGACTGCTCCCTGGCCACCCGGGCTTCGCTTGTCTCCCAGCTTCTGCCTCTGTCCCCGTTACTTCATGTGAAGACTTGCATTCACACTCTAGTCTTGATTAGCATGTGTCTGTGACCACAGAAAAGAAGCATGACACTTGTGTCTTGTCTCTGGCTGGGGTGAGCCTTTACTGGGTTTCTTTCTCTTGTGTGGTGTAGAACCCTGGAACCCTCAAGCCCAATTGGCAGGAGTTCTGAGAGTTGTGACAGTCCTTTTGTGGCTCCTGGCAGCTTTCTTCTCTGTGCCCCTGTGTCCCTTGGGAGCCTCACTCATGCACTTGTCTCCTCAGGCCGTGCCCCGAATCTTGGTGCAGCCTACCTTCTCAGATGCCCGGGCAACAAGGATGGAGGGGGTGAGTCACCAGGTTGGGACTGCCCCACTTACAGAGGTGGCCCTGACTCTACCTAGGATCCTTTTGTCCATACCTGCCTCTCCCTCTTTGCTTCCTGCTTTGATAATTAACTACAATGTAGGTCACTGTCTTGTCCCTGCACAGGCTCCTTGTTACACTTTGCTATTTTCAACCTGCTAATCATATGATTGCTAAAGTTTAGCTTGACTGCTAATGTAGTCTGTGCTTTAATAGCCCACTTCTAGGCAGAGGGGGTTTCTATAAACAGAGCCATCTCCTTCTTGGGAGTGTTTGCTCAATTCTCAGTTTTACTTATTTTATTTTATTTTTTTGTTTTTCAAGACAGGGTTTCTCTGTGTAACAAGAGCCCTGGCTGCCCTGGACTCCCTTTATAGACCCGGCTGACCTCCAACTCACAGAGATCTGTCTGCCTCTGTCCCCTAGTGCTGGGATTAAAGGTGTGTGCCACCATGCCCGGCTTTCAGTTTTACTTCATTCTGGTTCATGGTGTGAGCATGAAAAGACTAATGGCAGACTGGGCGAAAGCCATCTCTGTGGTCCCCGCAGCTCAACGGCACTCTCCGTCTTGTGGACAGTAGAACTCCCCAACCCCAGCCCTCAGTCTCAGGAATGCCTCCTCTTCACAGGGAAAGCTTATTCCTGCCAATAACAGCAAACAGGGCCCGGCGATTGGAGGGAAAACTTACTCTTCAGGTTGTGCCCCATCTTGAAAAGTCCCTTTCATTCCAGTGCCTTCCTGGTGTCCTGCATTCCCAAGGTGACCCCTCCCCTGGGAGCAATGTCAGTTGTTGTGTGGAGGCAGCTTTGACCACGAGCAGGACTCTAACTGGCAAGGCCACCTGTGTGCCCAGATTCTGCTGCTCATCCCAGTGGTCACAGCCTTCGATGGTCCAGAGACAGCAGCTAGGCTTCAGATGAAATTGTTTATTAGGTGCTGGCATGGCAGTAGGCAGAGGCTGTATCATCTTTCCTTCTGCCATCTTTAGTCTTTGCTATCACTGTATCTGGCTTGTCCCTTCCATGGAGAGCATAATTAAGCCCTTCAACTTCCGTGGGCTTCACTATAAATGACTTCACTGTAAATGTAAATGTTTATAGATCCCACAATCTCCCTCCCCCTAGTAATTCAAGTGGGGCAGTGGGACACCTGTCACTTGAGGTGCTCTTTACCTCTCTTTCATGTTCCTCTGTGGCCAGAGAGGCCTGGGTTGGACTGGGAGTGACTGAATCTCACTGGTGTGGGAAAGACCTTCTCTCTAGGCCACAGGTCATGTCCAGCTTCTTTTATAGCTCTGTGTATTTTTCCCTGCATCCAGTGATAGCTAACCAGCGTTAAGGAAAGAATAAATAAAGTGTGTCCAGGTTGCAGAAGAAAAATGATTGAAGGATTGCCTAATTTTTCAGCATATTTATGGCGATGACAGTTATTGATCTGCTAGATTGAGTAAGTTTTCAGTCAGAGCCCCATCACAAAAATGGGCTGTTAATCTCAAGAGGTGCCGTTAATTCCCTCCCCAGAAAGTGTGCCTTGTAGGCAATGAAGGCTTCTGGAAGCAGGGATATAAATGACAATTCACAGGAAAATGCATGATTTATCAAACTGCTGAGTTAAGCCAAGTAACTGGAAGAGACTTATAGATCTCAGCTGCTTCCCAGTTCACATAAATCCTCTATTTCAAGTGGAAAGTGACCATTCCTGTGGCATAAATATTGGGATACATCTTTCTTTTTCTGAGCAGCCTTCCACCTTGTTTCCATCCCACCTTTGTCCCCAGCACGGTGGGTCCAGCATTGGGAGACAGTGCCTGGTCCCCTTAGACAGCTTCAGTTGTCTAAAAGAACATTCTGTATTCACTTCCCAAATACTGGGACTAGCAGGGCCTGTCATCATCCTGAGATGCTGACTTTGTGTCTGTGTCTTCTGTCTGGTAACTCAGAGTGATGTGAAAGAAGGCCACTGGCTTTGTCCTTGCTTGGTGACAGCTCCTGGCTCATGTCCCAGGATCAGAGGCCCCCAGCCCTGACATGACACCAGCAGCCAGAAAAGCAAGCTCCTAGAGAAAGAGCCATGGCTACAGGCAGCCTGGGTCTCCTCCTTGTTCCTGACTTCCAGCCTGAACACCCCACCAGTACTGTCTGGGGTCAGTGCCTTGTGTGCCTGTATTGCTTGCTAAAAGCAATTTTAGCTCATTTGGTGAGGTCATTCTTTGGATTTTGCCAGAGGGAAAAAAGTTCTCCTCTTCCCTCTTTATGTGTGTTTCAGTGTCCCTGTGAGGACAGTGGTGGGTGAGGGTGTCTGCTCTCATGGGAATAGTTACCTGAGACCAGGGAAGCTGGAATGGGCAGAATGAGGTTTAGTCTATGCTGCTTCCTGCTGCCTGGAGGGAGGGGTCTTGCCTTGTGTCATGTCATCCCAGGTTCAGGAATGAGCATCTCTGTAGAAGATGCAGATGCAGCAGGGCTTCTGCCACGTTGCTCAGCCACTCCTGATCACAGGTGGACAGCCCAGTGCTCACCTGATTTGGCTACAGGGCCAAGGGAAGCTCTGTCTGTTTTCTTCAGGTGCATGCTGCCCGCAGCCAGGAACAGTGCCTACCCAGACTTCAGTGTAGAACTGGTAGAGCCAGCCTCATGGGCTCAGATTTGGTGGGAAAGCCTTTCCCAACTCTGATCAGTACACATTCTGCCTTCTGCAGGCTCAGCGAGGCAGCCCTGGGCCTGCTGGGGCTCTGGACTCCATGGTGCAGAGGACGGCCCCTGCAGTAAAGATCTGTGACAAACCTGTCAAAGTGTCTTCCCCTCCGTCTACCATGGTGGTAACTCAGCCCCCAGAAGGGCAGGATGGACCTCCAAGCCCCTTGAGCGAAGCTTCCAGTGGCTACTTCTCTCACAGCGTCTCCACTGCTACCCTGTCAGAAACGCTCACCCTAGGCCTGGACACCACGGGCCTTGGCAGCCAGACACCTGGGTCCCCCCCTGCCTTGTGTCAGGTCACCCCAGAGCCCGAACTGGCTTTTCTTTCCTGCACACAGAGCCATCCACCTGCCTCAGAAGAGCCCCAGGTACCACCTGCCACACCTACTCAAAGCACAGAGCTAGAGGTTCCCAGACCACCCCTTCTTTCTGAATCCACATCCACTGTGCCCACATCCCCGTTCCGAATCCGGAAAGTGCGGACCTCAGAGCTTAAGTCCTTCACAGGCATGCTGGGGGGAGCCTCCTCCGGAGCTGGGGAGGACCCACTGGCTTCAGAAGAGCTCACCAGTGCTAGGGGACAGGCGCTGGGAAGGCTGGAAGTGACATCTGACTCTGAGGAGGCCAGTGAAGTCCCTGAGTGGCTTAGAGAGGGAGAGTATGTTGTTGTGGGAACCAACAAGACGGGTGTTGTGAGGTACATTGGACCAACGGACTTCCAGGAGGGAACGTGGATTGGCGTGGAGCTGGACCTGCCTTCAGGTAAGTGGGCTGTGGGTGCTCCTGCTGACCACAACACTGCTGAATGTGGCCTGGCAGAAGGGGAGCCGGGATGTGCCGTGTGCCTAGTGCACATCAGACTCTGAGCCTTTTGACCCTTCATAACCCAGATGCTAGCTCATCTAAACTCTTAGAATCCACCAGAGGCCCAAAGGAGTTACCGAAAACTGAAATAAACTTAGAAATGAGTTTAAATCTTTTCCTCTTGAGACCATGTCCAGCTGTATGGTCCAGGATGGTTTGGACTGACTGGGCCCAGTGATCGTCCTGTTGTAGTCTTGCCACTACCTGAGGCTACAGTTGGGGCCACCACAGTGAGACTCCAGGGTGCCTAAGTGTGAGTGTGATGTTCTAGGTAAGGTGTGGTGAGATTGTTGTAGGCTCCTGAGTGTGGAGACAGACTAGTGCTCAGGGTGGTCAGGAGGCAGGAGGCCCTAAGGAAGCACACATCTGTCTAGATATTTTCTGTGGTGTTCTATCCTTTAAGAGTAGGCTGCCCTTGGTCTCTCAGCCAGCCTGCGGCTTCTTAGGCCCCTTTATCCCTGGTTTGTGACACAGGCCAGATGGTTTTGTTGCACACCCATTTCCAGCCTGGGCCACAGGAAGTGGGCAGCTCACTGGTCTTGAGCATACTTACTGGGCCAGCCACCACCACTTGGAATCTATATTGTCCTACAGTTGTCATCTCATGGGGAAATGACATGATCGCTGGCAGCTGTGCCTTGCCCAGGCCTGGGTTACAGTTAATTTGTTTCTTGTTCCCAAGTTTATGGGAAGCCATGATCTGGGCTTAGGTGGAAAGGAAACTTCTGTTTGGCTTCTCCTAACGTGGCCAGGATGTTTGTGCGGCAGTGCCATTGCAGCTCCTTCCTGTCCGTGGCTGAGGAGCTCTGCTCTGTGGGTAGTTGCAGCCTTGGGCTGCTGTGAATGTAGGCTAGGAGTAGTCACATGGACACAGGGGCCCATCTCACGTGCTCAGTGTTGAGTGTGAAGGTAGCAGCTGGTTTCCAGAGTGGTGGCCCCATCGCAGTGCTGGAGGGTCAGGTGTGAATGCCTTCTCCCTTTTGGAGCAAAGGAAATTTCCTTGGTTGAGCATGGGAAAGGTGAGGTCTGGATGGGCAGGGGCAGGGCGTCCCTAAGATGTACAGCCCACCTTTTGCTGCAGAAGCAACGGCTCAGGCTGCCACCTGAGAGACCTGATTCCCTGCCGCTGTCTCTGGACACTCAGTCACATCCAGCAGCTTGTTGGACTGCTGGGTGGACGCAGGCCTTTAGGAGGACACCCCTCAGAACTCAGCGTTAGACCCTTGTGTCTTTCAACCAGCCCGTGGCCTCACTGGCCCATTTATCCCTGGCTGCAGGCACAGGCCAAAATGGGATCCTTGTCCCTGAGCCGAGTGCTTCCTGTGAGGTCACTGTCTTTAAAAATAATTGGGCGGAGAATAGCTTAGATTGGAAGTAGTTCAAGATGTTAACTATAGTACAGACTGGGAAAAAAAATTTCAAATTTGCTTTTCTCAAAGTGCAAAGGAGATTCAGGAAGAAGTCTGTGCCTGCAGTTGAACCCAAGAATCAAAGAAAATGAGCAAACACTTTACTTGTCCAGCAGGAGCTAAGCGCATGTTTGCTTGCACTGCAGTGCTAGGTTCAAATAGACTGTGGCGAGCAACATCCCCCACTTGACTTGTACTTGTGCAGAGGAGAACATGCTAACATGCTAATGAATAAATACATTTTGATAGGAGCAAGTGCTATGAAGGAGCCAAATGGGCTCAGGAGCTAGAGGAGGGTGGCTGACTGGAATACCCCAAACTACTCCGAGAAACAAAACAATGCAGGAAGCCGAGCTGGAAAGTTGGGCCGCCAGCAGGGTGAGGTGGGGCAGGGCCCTGGGGCTCCTGAGTGTGATGCAGCTTGCTGAGATCGAGGCCGAGTAGGAAGGCAGCCTATGCGGTCTGAGGGGCACCTGCTGCCTGCATCTAAGGCTTTCCTGGTAGTTACTGCAGTGTGACCAGGGCTTGAAAAGATCCCCCCTCGGAGAACGCACATGGGGAACAATGGGCACAGAACGGCCACTGTGAGGGGCAGCAGGTGTGTGGGCTAGAAAGGTTTGAGGTTAAGCTAATGGTAGGTGTGGGGAAGAGTGGTCAGGGTTGGGGAGGATGTGTAGAAACTGCAGCCAAGGACAGATGGAGGGGGGGGACCGTTAGGAGTATCAAGGTGACTGCTAGTGTGTGGCGACAGAACAGGCCATGAATGCAGGAAAGGCTGGAAAGATGCCTGTCAGTGTAGGCTCACTGTCTCAAGTGATTCTGAGACATAGAGATGCCAGGTGCCTTGAGGGGCCAAGCGGGTGGCCAGTCACACTTTGACTGAGCTGTAGTCTGCGTGCAGCCAGGCCTTTCATCTGCTGAGACCAGATGAGTTGGAGCTGGGGAGAGAGGGAGTGAGGAGACTGATGCCAGTGACCAGAAAGGGCTCAGTGCATGTGGGTATTTGAGAAGTAGAGAGGCAGGGCTTGGCCCTGCTGCTGGCCCTGAGGCTTCCCAGAGACTGGTGGGCAGGGCGGACGCTCTGCAGAGCACCTGGTGACTATGGCTTCCAGGTGGGTTCTGCCCTGTCTATTCCGCCTCACTGCAGCAACCCCTATTCACTGTCAGAGGAAATTGTCACTGTTGAAGCAGCTTTTTCTTTTTTAAATTAAATTTTTATTTTTCATATAATTATAGTTTATTCACTTTGTATCCCAGCTGTAGCCCCCTCCCTCATCTCCCATACTCCTCTCCAAGTCCATTGATGGGGGGGGGGTTCCTCCTCTCCTTTATCTGACACTAGCCTATCAGTTCTCATCAGGACTGGTTGCATTGTCTCTCTCTGTGGCCTGGTTAGGCTGTGCCCCCTTAGGGGGAGGTGATCAAAGAGCCAGCCACTGAGTTCATGGCAGAGACAGTCCCTGTTCCCCTTACTAGGACACCCACTTGGAGACTGAGCTGCCATGGGATGCATCTGAGCAGGGGGTCTAGGTTATCTCCATGCATGATCCTTGGTTGGAGTATCAGTCTCAGAAAAGACCCCTGTGCCCAGGTTTTTTGATTCTGTTGCTCTCCTTGTGGCGCTCCTGTCCCCTCCAAGTCTTTCTATCTCCCCCTACTGTTAAAGAAGCTTGACACCCAGTGTGGCATCTGCTGACATACTCTGTGGCAGTTTTGCCAGCTTCCTCTTGGATAGACATCGTGCCAGAGCCACCTGTACCCCTACATTCATGCTTGTGTTCTCAGGAAATGGGCTAGTGCCCTGGAGGAGCAAAAGCCGCTCTGCCTTGTTGGCCTGCTCCTGGCCCTCAGCAGGACTTTGTGCCAGGCCTGCTACCTCATACTTGGGAGCCCAGAGCTAAGGGTTGTGTGTCTCTGGTGACCACTGTCTACGGTCTTAGGGGCTTCTGTCCCAGGCTCTAGGCTCATTGGCACCCTGTTGAACCATAGGTTCAACAGTGACTGAACCACCTGTTTTGTGGATTGGGTGGTGGCACGGAGGTGGTAGCATGCTGGACACAGTAAAGAAGGTGACTGTCCGTGTAACACACACTTCTCCTTCCCCTGCAGGAAAGAATGATGGCTCCATTGGTGGGAAGCAGTATTTCAAGTGCAACCCCGGCTATGGGCTGCTGGTGAGGCCCAGCCGGGTCCGGAGGGCTGCAGGCCCCGGGCGCAGGCGTAGTGCAGGGCTCCAGCCTCAGGCAGCCCCAGAGGCCCGCAGGAGTGCTACTATCTCGGGCTCTGCTACCAACCTGGCTTCACTGACCGCTGCACTGGCCAAAGGTGACAGGAGCCACAAGAACCCTGAAAACCGGAAGTCCTGGGCCAGCTGAACTGGCACCTCTCTGGTGGGAAGGGGGAGTCCTGGTTCCTCCCTGGAGGACAACCAGGTCCATGGGAACAGGGCCATGAATGCTTTTTTTGCACGACACAGGGATGGTGGACAGCCTGGTTCCCTGTCCTCTCTGGGAATCTGGAAGCTGCATTTCTTCCTCTACTTGGCAACAGCAGAGGCTTCTCGGCTGTGCTTCTCTGGTTGGGGGTGGAAGGTTCCAGGAGCACAGAGACTCACAGGATGGTAGTTGGGTGGCAGCGCTGGGGGCCAGGCCAGCTCTTCCGTGCCTGCTTGAGATGGGGCGGCAATTCCCAGCGAGGGGTGTTGGGCTCCCCTTTTCTAGTCTACTGTCTTTACTGATGTCTTCATTTAAAGAATGATCCTAACTAGTGTCTGCCCCTCACATACAGGGGTTCCTTCTCCGGCCTAGGGTCAGCCTCCACATCATCCCCTACATGTAACCGTTGCTTTGCCAGTCCTCCCCTAACCCATGCCCCTCCTTCTGAGTGGCACACAGTGTTTCTGGGAGGCATCTTTATGGGTGTTCCAGATTCTTTACATCCAGAAAGGCTTTTTGTCAGCTATTCATTTCCTAGCAGGATGCTTGAACTCTATTTATTTAATTTATTTTTTCAAAAGCTGAAATAATTCACGAGCCACAATCACTGCCTGTCCCAGCATGCATGCCTGGGGCCTACCTTGCGCTCACTGGCCTCTGGCTGGTAGGAGCTATAGCCTCTTTCTTAGATTGTGGTTGTTGGAGGTGGTGCCCAGCAAATAATACACATGGCCTTACTCTCCGGGGGGTGGGGTGGGACAGGGAGGCATGACCTCAGCTTGACATAGCTCAAGCCATCAGTACCTTCTCTGGATCTGCCACAATACAGGGAACTGGAGAATGCTTTGACTCTGACAGTTCCTAAATCCTGACAACACATGGGGGCCAGCAGCTGGGCAGGTAGGTAGAGAGGGGAGAATGAAGCTATGGTGTTTCCCAGGGCATTTCCAACCACCTTTTTACTGAGATGTATGTGGCCACTGAGTCCCAGAGTGCATGGAGGCCTGAGCAGGCAGGTTGGAGTCACCTAGTCCGGGCTCTCCCAGGTCCTTCCCTGGCTTCCACCTCTGGAAGGAAGTCCTATGTCAGAATTTTAACTGGGTATCCTTGGCAGCTTGTTGTAAGCTTGACCCTCAATTTTTCTCCCTGTGATAGGCTTTCTCTGTGTAGCTCTGGCTGTCATGGACTCGTTTTGTAGACCAGGCTGGCCTCGAACTCACAGATATCTGCCTGCCTCTGCCTCCCAGAGTACTGGGATTATAGGGTGTGCCACCACGCCTAGCTCAGACTCTCCAACTATTAAGAACCACAGCTAGCCAGCTTTTGTAGAGGAACTGGTTCTGTGAGGACTTGAACCTCTTAAGGGAAGCAGCAGCAGGCCCCTAGGCTCCCAGCAGCTGGCTCCTCAGAACACCCCGCTTCCCTGCTCCTGTGGCCTCTGTGTTCATATTACTGGCATTCAGTCTGGACCGTCCATGTTGTCTGACTAGCTCAATATAAACTTTACTACTGTCTGCTTGCCCAGACTGTGACCAGAGGCTGCCCTAGGGCAATAGGAGGACGGGTGGTCTCCCTGGCACAGATGCAGACTGCCTGCACAGAAACCCAGCCTGGAGATGGAGTGTCATTGTGCTCTTGTCACCAGGGTCTGCCAGGAGAGACCTGCTTCCATCCCACTCTGGAACAGCTAGAGGCAGGCACCACTTCAACAATCCTTTTCCTCAGCTGGCATTTTGGGGATGCCCACTAGGTGTGTGGTGCTCAGTTAGCACTGCCAAGTCTGCCCGGCCTGCTCTTGTGGCCAGCACACAAGCTCTATGGAGTGTGCTTCAGGTAGAGGCCTTTTCCTGTCGGCATCCACGGTGTTCCCCCAGAGAGCAGTCAGTCATTCCCTGAAGGGGCCAGAGCTCCAGAGTTCCTCCTGTGGCACGGTCATGCAATGGGTCCAAGGGAGAGAAGGCCCTGGCTTGAGGCCAGTCTTGGTAGGTGGTGGGAAGGAATTTGTGCAGCCGTCACTTGGGGTGGTCTAAAACAGGTGTAAAGGGACTGTTGACTTCATTTGTTAGCTGGAGCCCTGCCAGTCCTGCATGGTCTCACGTGGTCAGCTCCTGGGCAGTGGTTTTGGGACCAGCCTCTCTCCTCCGGCCCCACTTTCCTCTCAACTCCTCGGACCTGAGTTTCCCAGCTTTCCCTCGTCGAGGCTGCCTTAGAACTCCCCCTGCCTGTGAAAACTACTCTTTCTACAGAGCCTCGCAGGAAGCCCTTCAGGTAGAGCACCCCAGCTTCACAGGCGACTGATGACAGCACCCTCAGGATGCCTCTGCCCGTGCCCTCCACTGGTTGGTGCTGGGGCTGTTTGCACAGAAAGCTCTGTTGCTTTCATGGACCTTGGTCCTCAGTATGGACGGGATTTTCTAGGAGTGAGATTTAGGGCCTCTTGCTGCTGAGTTTGTTTGTCCTCCTGGTGTTTCTTACGAGCTCGTCCTGTGGCTGAGAAGACCCTGTGTGTGTTTCCTATGAGGGCAGGGAGGTGACCCCGGGAAAGCTGGCGTCGGGCTGGTCTGGAGATGGGGCTTCAGTCCGTGAGGGCCTGCAGGGCCTGCTGCCATCGTGTGGGCTGTGTGGGCTGTGTGGGCTGGGTGGAGACCGTGAGGCTTGCTCCTCCTGGGCTGCCATGCTAGACAAGGCCTTTTGGAGCAGGCTGACACTGACTTGCAGCTGGAAAGCTGGTGATGTGTAGGGGTTGTGGTCGCTAAAATGTCAGATAGTGTAAGGTGGCGGGTGTGTAAGTTGGGTTCCAGGTTCCCAGTCTTAAGGGGCAGAGGGGGAGTGTTTCTGGGCTGTGGTTAGTGACTTGGTCCCTGAGGAGTTGCAGAGGGACAGACAGTGCTTCCATGTCTCCAGTCTTTCCCAGCACTTCTCACACCTTAGAGGTTCCGTGTGGGAAGCGGGTGGGTGGCTCACGTAGCGGCAACCTGCCTGCCCAAGCTGCCTGTGCTGCCTGTTGCCCAGGGAGGGTGACCTGGAGCTTCTTGTGCCTCAAGGCTCATGCCACCCCAGGTCCCAGACCTTTGGGCCCTCTCTAGTGCCTTCCCTGGGGCCAGTATCGAGCTATGCTTCTGGCCCCAGACACTACCCAAAGCATCTTTCTCTTAACTCTACAGTGCCTTCCTGTTGGGTTTCGGACACTCAGTGTGGGGAGAGCTGGGAATGGCACGGGGGTGTGGATTGTGTAAATATGAGCTCACATGAGTGATGTTGATTACAGGATTACAGTGATTTGGTGCATATTAAGTGGGAATTAAATATCCAAAGACTTGTAATGAGTAGTAAAGGTGATTTATGTTGTATGATGAACCCAAATACTGTAATTTTGTACCATAAATGCCTTTCCGTCAAGTGACCAACAGCTTCTAAATAAATCTAGATGATTACCCGATTATGTCTGAGGTCAGTCTTAACTGTTCTTCTCTCCCCTCCCCTTGGGCTTTGGCTCCCTACACTGTCCTCTGGTGGTGGTCCTAGGGCTTGTCAAGATGGGAAGCAGTTCACAGAGCAGCAGTCCCCAGGGCACAAACCTCCGTGGCCTAACGACCTCGGGAGATCCCACTGGTACACTGGCCTGTCTCCAGTCCCTCACTCACTTCAGCCCATTATAGAAGCCAGGCAGAACCAGAGCACCCGGGGGACTTAGGCTGAACGTAACTGGAGCTTCAGTGCTAAGAACAGAGGTGTGTGTGTGTGTGTAGGTTCCCTGCTTTCAGGCAGGGGTTTCACCATCTGCTTTGACCTAGGAGATAGGCCTCACTATGGACTAGAGAGCACGTGCCTTTCTACTGCTGCAGAGATAGACACACCCTGGACCACTGGTTCTCAACCTGCTTAGTGCTGCCAGCCTTTAACACAGGTCACACTGTGGTGGCCCCCAACCATGTCATTATTTTTGTTGCTATTCCGTAAGTAGTTTTGCTAGTTTTGAATCATGATGTAAATATCTGTTTCTGGGGGCTGGAGAGATGGCTCAGGGGTTAAGAGCACTGCCTGCTCTTTCTGTGGATCCAGGTTCAATTCCCAGCACCCACGTGGCAGTTGACAGCTGCCTGTAACTCCAATTCCAGGGATCTGCTTTCTGATAGTCTTAGGTAACCCCATGTGAAAGGTTGAGGCCCACAGGTTGAGAACCAACTGCCTTGAACACAGTATTTGAGAAAGAGGGAAAATTAGGACTGTGGTTGCTCGGCAGGGGTGGATCTAGTCCCTGTGGGCTGAGGAAGCTGACTTTAGGCCTGCCTATCACGAAGCCTACCCTTTCTGAAGGGACTTCCTCTGCCACCCACGGAGCCCCACTCTGAGCCACTCTGCCAGGAAAGCGGTGTCCAGGGTATAGGAAATGCTCAAGGTTTTCTCCCTGCACCAATGCACCATTCTGCCCCTTTCTGGGAAACACACGGTCAGGGCCACCTGAAGGCTCAAGGGGAGGTGGTCATCAGCCACAGACAGCCTCTGCGTATACAGGACTTGTCAGAGAAAAGCCCTGCCAAACAGGGACAGAAAATGTGTCAGCCAGGAGCAGCCCCCATGAGAGATGAGGCAGGATTCTGATGAGCACAGGGCAGGCGGTGGATACATCATCCTTTTCAGGCTGCTCTTACCTGGCAGCTCCGGGAGATGTCTAGTCTGTACCAAGCCCTGGCACGGCTCACTCTTTGCTTACCGAGTCACTCAAGGAATGTGGACACTGATTCTGAGCCTGGAGTGTAGCTGGCACTGGGGCCTTGAGGGGTCAAGGAAGCCACCCTTGGATATAGGGAAGAGGGGTTGCCCCAGGGAGGTGCTTGGCTATGTAGTACATGTGCCAAGGCCAAGGAGACCCATGGCCTGAAACTTGAGCATAAATTGAACTAGGAGTTTGGGGCCAGACTATGCAGATCCACAAGGTAGGGTCAGCCTGTTCTGGCCTCTCTCCTGCTCCTCTCTCCTGGGCTGCGTTGCCAGACTCTGGACAGCAGCTTCAGAATCTGCAGCCCTATGTATGCATACCCAGAAGGGAAACAATTCCCAATGGGGACAGGGAAGGCTGGGTCCTGGCCCTGCCTCTGCTCACCATTGAAAACCAGACCAGGGAGAACAAAGCGGCTGCTTTCTGTTTCTGCTTCTCTAGACACAGCTTTCAGAGCCTGCTCCTTTAAGAGGCTCAGGGTGGGGCTGGCTGCAGCAGGAAAAGCAAAGGGAAGCTAAAGAACCTTAAGCTTGGCTGTGAACCTGGGTCGGAGCCAAACTGGTGTCTCCCCACCCTCAAACACACATACACACAGGTGGTGATTGATTGGGGTTCTCCTGCTCAGGCTGTGGTGCTATAATCTCCCAGCTCCCCTAGGAAAGTCTCAACAGCAGAGCTGGAGTCAGAGCACTTTTGAGAAACCTCAGGTTTGATCCCCAGACCTGCAAAAACAAAACAAAACTCTAAAAATGCACAAGGCAGGGTCCACAGAACAGATACCTATACCCACTTCAACCAGGCAGTGCCCCTCTGCCTCCGGCCCCCCCCACCCCATGAATATTTGGATCCAAAAAACTCCTGGACAGCCTTTGTTCAGTTATACATTTTATTCTCTAATAGGTACAATACTAAAATAAACACAAATTAAAAAAAAGTTTTATTAAAACAAAACTGTACAAAAAAGCAGTATACTACATTTTAATTACAGAACAGTCTACTGTCCAAAAGGCACTAATCCAGAATAGGAGATACAATGAAACAGGACTCATCGGAACTATTTAATCAATACAGTAGAGCCCTTGTTTCTTTGACCATTTACACCCAGAAACAAGGGCTGCTTGCTACAGTCATCACACATTGTTATAATCCGAGTCCTACTGGGAAGGTGCAGTATCACTCCCTAGAGCAGGCTCCACCAGGGGCCAGGAGGGGGCTGGGAGGGTATGGGCAGCAGTGGGCACCCAAGCTTGTCTCGGCCTCTGGTGGGTTGGTTCTGGCCATCGTTGGCAACCACTCTAACCCCTCTCCTGTTTAGCACCGGAAAAGTGGGTTCTGAGATGCTCCAGGTAAAGGATTGGAGGTCTGGTGACAGGCATCCGGTAACCCTGTCTGAAAAGGCAGCAGCTACCTGGAAGGGAGAAGTGACTTGGTGACAGCCGGGGGGCTGGGCGATACGCCAAGCAGCGCCACCCGGGCATCAGAAAGAAGTCTCCCCTTGTCAGTGACTATTCAACAATCCTGTCTGGGAAGCTGGTTTCTAGAAGGGGAATTTGCTTCCCAGAGACAAGTCAGAATGCCATGCCTGGCCTCAGGGATGCGAGCCCTGTACCCCAACCCACCCCTGGTCGGGTGGCCGAGACACCTCCCTGGGCCCCAGCTTTATCATCACAGACTCTGGCCTAAGGAAGAAGGATACTGCAGCTTTCCAAACAGTGTCATACACAGAGAAGACGAAGACAGGCATCTGATGTTAACAAAAATAAGTAACAGAAATGGGATTAAACCAAATCTCTTCTCACAGCGCCCTATACTACACCCTCCTTCTGCTTAGCAGAAAATTGTACGTACACAAAAATACAAATACACAATTTTGTAGAACAGTCTGATTTTTAATATATTTATATATATTTATATTTATACGAGTGGCAGGTTAGTTCATTATATAGAGCTTTTTGCACTTTTGGCTCATATGCAACAAGGCTTATAAATTCAGCTTTAGCTTTCATTCAGATTTTATAGCTTTTGAACAATTTTTTTTTTTCACATTTAAAGCAGCATCCAATTTGCACTAGGAGTCGTGGTGATTATGGGGAAGGATGGGGTCAGGGCTCTGGGGTGGGTGGTATACATTCCAGTGTGTGTGGCATGTAAGGAGGGTTCCGTGTGGACAGAGCTTGCCATGATGACCCCTTGAGGTAGACTGAACACCCTACAGCAGACTCAGACACAGGTGTGACTCACCCTCAGGGACACATGGCACACAGATGGGGACAGAGACCAGAGGAGACACCAAAAGGAAACACGCAGACTGAGACACACACAGCCATGGCCAGGAGGGCGCCCTGCCCCTCCCCGACTCGTCTGGCAGGATCCTACACAGCCACCGTGCTGACTACCTGCAGGCAACCTCAAGACATCTGGTCCCCAGTGTCTGGGCAGAGCGTGTGAGCCTTCTCTCCGCTTCCCAGGGGGCCATGCCAGCTCGCTCCCAGACCCACAGCCAACTGCGCTTCAGCAGGACTGGCTGTCACTCCTCAGCATTCAGCTCTCGCTAGAACGTCAAGTCCAGTCAGGGCCCAGAACCCTGGCCCTCCCGGTGCTCTGACTGAAAGCTGCCGTCCCTCCATCTGCATCCAGTTGACATTCCTCAGTTACATGGGGCCTGCCAGGTGCTGGTCGACCGTGACCGCTGCATCTAGAAAATGGGTGACACACTCCTCAGCGGCAGCTCGGTGCGCACGCACCACAGTGCCTCACTCTCCCCACCATTTCGCCACTCACTGCTTTCTCTTCCCTAGGTGAGGCAGGGTCATCCACACCTGTTACATGCAAATGCCCAGTGTTCACATCACTCCACTGTCTGAACAAAAATTCTGGGTTATTAATGAAAATAAGGTGCCTGCATATGAATTGTTCCTTTCCCACTAGTCATCTGTGTGAACCCAACTGGGCACAACAGTCACTGAACAAGCTATCCTATACCCAAAGTAAATCAAGGCCTGGAGCTAGCTCTGACTCAATTATTTTTAAAAAGAAAGTCTCTCACTCATTAAAAATAAAATAAAAACCCCACATTGGATCTTAAACGACTAGCAGCGATGGCCCTTGGCCCCTGGCTCCTTGGTATCTGGGCTGTAGATCAGTCACCATCCCTGCCTGCTGGAAAGCTGGGAATGGCCTCAAGTGTGCACAGACGAAATTCTGCTCAGAGGCTATCTCACTCCTGTTTTCACTCTAGCTAAGACTCCTTAAAACTCCTTCTGATCCAAGACCACAGTCACATCAACAGAAGGAACACAGGAGACAGTGACAAGGCCAGCCCTCTCTCCTAGCTTGCCCTTGTGACCATTCTGCCTGCAGAATGGCAGAGAAAACTGGGCTGGGGGGTGGGGGTGTGCACAGTCCGCCCTGAGGCTGGGTGGATGGTGGGAGGGACAGGGCATAGGCCAACACTTGGGCAACTCCCAGAGGTCTGTCACTTGCTTAGGCACTTAAACATAAATGAGAAGTTTGTTCTGGAAGGTACTGCAGACCCAACGTAACCAGGGCCATGGAGGGGAGGCTGAGCCCATGGACAAATCGGAGAAAGGCTGTAGGCTCTTCCAGGGAGGCAACTGCTACTCTTGGCACCTTCCAGCAGCGGTCCTACCTTGCAGCCAGTGAAGTTATGTGGTGGCTTAGGCCAGTTTGGCCACTGTGGTCCCTGATCTGCGCCTAATGAGGGGCAGGCTGCCCTAACAAACCATTTAGGGTCACTGTGAGGGAACCACTAAGAAAAAAAGAGAGCTTTCATAATGGTGGTGTGGTAGAACCAAAAAGCAGAAAGGAGAAAGCTTGCCAGAATGGCCAGTGCTTGGGGAAAAAAGCTCCACCCATCCCAAGAACTTTGGTTTTGTTTTTCTGGTGCCCATTTTCAGAGATGCATGATGAGATCCCCACAGATTTCAATATAGTCAATGTGGGCATCAAGGCAAATGATAAAGAGATTGCTTTTTGAAAGCTGTGAGTGCTCACCTCCACTCAGCACACACAATTCACACATGCACCTCCCACCTGCAGATGGGGCCCAGGAAACAGAGAGCGGCTGCTGTTTACATTCACACAGCTCTAATGCCATTTGGTTTTCTAGTCTAATGGCCTCAGCGAGTCATGGACAGATGGCCTCATAGGTTTAGGCTGGGCTCTTAGTTCCAGTAAAGCAAAAACGGGAGGGGTTTCTGGGCTCTGAAAGCTACAAAACAAGACTGGAGAGATTCAACCTGGAAGCACTGGGAAGCTAAGTCTTGGAAGGAGCAACAAACCTTCAAACACACGTCCCTGGGACTGGCTTCATCTTAAGCCCTGGGTAGGTGACAGGCACTGATTTCATTTCACAATTTCCATGGCACCTTTGGCCGCCAACAGATGCAAAATCTTAATTATACCAGAATGAAAGGCACACATACTTGTTCTCTCCAAATCAAGGTGGTTGGGGCAAAATGAGGACAGTGTTAAGAGCCCACTGGCCAGTCAGTGTCACTAGGGATCAGCAGCCCCAGGAGGCGGTCTGCTGAGTCCTTGGGCCTTGCTCCTCAGGTGTTTTTCATTCTCTTGGGCTTTAAGGCTACCCGAGATGTGACAGAGATCAGAAGAGGAAGATAGTGACCCAGCCAACATTTGGAGAACGCAATTTTGTGAGAAAAGAGCTAGAAAAGAAGGGAAGGGGAGGAGTGCAGCAGGCCAGCTTGGAGATGCTCATTTGATGTCGCTGACCAGTACAGTCATGAAGCCTCTACATTAACCCTGAGGCAGCTTGCTCCATTCTTGGATTCTGGATACTAGAAAGTTCTTATTCTAGGCCCAAGTTTGGATGTCTTCAAGAAACTGCTACTTACGGACCAGTCAGTGTTGATGAGGAGCCAAAGAAAGCCACGGCACCAGAACTTTGGATTCCAAAATGCTTCTACCTCAGCTTCTGACTGCAGCAGAGAACAGCAAGGTTTGTGGGAGTGTTCAGCACAAACCCTTAGGAGCGCAAGCAGGATGCCTCAAAGCCCCAGGAGCTAAGTGTTGTAAGAACTGAAAAGCGCAGGCTTTGTGGCAATCGCTGCCTGGAGGGGAGGACTGGGGGCTTGCACCTCACAGCTGATGCAGTGAATGAGAATTCAGCTGCGGAGACGACAACAGAAGGGCCTCACCTGCGAACAGCAAGCAGGCTGGCAGTGAGCTTGGCAGAGCAAGATGACACATTCCCTAAATGACAGCATCTTCACATCTTCAGATGTTTACAAAATCACGTCTGGAGTTAAGTTTTCTTAGAAGAAGGCAAGCAAGGAAGCTCTTCAGGGTCAAGTACCACCTACACTGTTCTTGGCTACTGAGCTGGTTTTGTGTTTTGAGGTGGGGCAGCTGTGAGGATAGAGGAATATTTACCCTGAGCAGAGTGTTTCTAATCAGAGCGGTCCCCTTGAGCACCCAGAAGAAGATGTCGGGACTTGCAGCTGCATGCCAATTTGGTTCCCTTGAATGTTCACAGGTCACTGTAATATTTCCCTGCTATGTAGTACATGCCACAAATCACAAAATTAGCTCAAGTAGTGACTTTTCAGAATGGAATCAGAAGGCAGATCTGGACCTCTAATGTAGACACCAACAGCAACATCTCAGCAACTGGGGACGCAAGCTATTACAAGTCCATCAAGGCTGAATGGTCTCAAGGTCCACACACTTCTGACCTGCAGGCAGGGGGAGGGTCCACAGGGTCACTTAGAGAAGCAGCAGCAATGGCCATCCTCCCAGGACCACCTTCCCGATGCTGTACATTTCACTGTAAGTATTTGGGAGAGCTCAAACTGAAACATTCCCAGAAATAGAATCTTTACTAACCAATCCCGCAGTGTTCCGCCTGAAACATGGACTCATGGCTGCAAGCTAACCTCACCTGAGTCCTGAGCCTCACGGGTAGAGGAGCTTATAAAAGGCCACTTAGCACTGGCAGCTGCTGGCACTCTGGTGGACCCCTGGCCCTCTAATTGAATCAAGGCTCCTACAAAGAGTGACTAGAACAAAAAAAAGAAAGAAACAAAGTCTAAACTAAGCATCAGCTGGAGAGGGGCTAGTGAGTGCCTGCAGTTCCTAGTCAGGAGGCCACTACAGTCTGTGAATGTCACACGGTACCTGCCTGAAGGCACAAGTGCATGAAGAAGAACACAGTAGGGGACAGAGAACACGGCTTCTGAGGAGCCAGGAACCCAGTACTGGCAGGAGAACAGCATTAGGAGCTGGCAACGGCTGAACAAGCCTGATGTGAGCAAGCTGGGGTGTGCACACTGAGCCCCGTCCATGCATCCACATGTGAGGTCGCCGCATGCATGTTCTCATGCTGTCTGCTCCTGGCCACTACTCAACTCTGTACACCTCCGTGTGGCAAATACTTTCTGATTGTTGTGGCAGTGGAAATGGTCAAGTTTCCAAGGAAAAGCCTGAAAATCCCTGGAAGCCCAGTCAAGCAGCAGGTGTCCCCATGGGAGCATTCCGGATACCAGACAAAGGATGCGGACCAGGAAGCTCTGCCAGAGGCTGCCTCAGTTTGAGATGCTGACTAGTTTCTGGCCAAAGCTGAATACGTTGAAACTGGACACGAGAGGTTTCAGAGAATTTAGAAGTCAGATGCAAGCAATAGGCAAAGCCCTCCATTCTGGACCTGAAATGGTTCCCAATGCTCTCTCATTTGGGTGGGACAGACATGAATCCTATGTCATTATTTTGGTTTACTGAGCTGTTGTTCCAAATGTTCTTGGGAGCATTAGTGCTCAAAGGGAACAAGGATGGGTGCTCTGCTATTCTCAACCACATAAAGGACAGAAATCCTCTTAATTATGACCATGCCAATCTACATCCTCCTAAAACAGCTAATTACATGTCAGGAGGACACTCAGTCATTCGGAACAATTGCTATTATACTTTTATATATTCATTCTGTGCCACCCCCCTCAATTACCATGGTTACAATTTGAAAAAAAGATTCTGCCAAACCTTCATTTGATCACAGCACACCATCGTGAATTTGTGAATTAATTATGGCTGTATGGAGCCAGTCTTATTTAAAGAGAGAAACGACGGACATAGAGTCAGGGGAGCTGGCCTCCTGCGTGTTCTAAGTGGGGCATCAAGTTCCCCAACAACAGAGCCTGTAGCTGTGCTGGCCACAGAAAGGGCTTGTCAGCCAAGGATGGCAGCAAAGCAACTCTGCCACCCAGTAAGGGCTAGAGGTAAAGGGTGGGGGGTGCTTGGAAACTCCACCAGTGGAAGAAGGCTGCTCCTAGCTCACCTGAAGAGAGCCAACTAAATTTAGTCCTGCCTGGATGTCACCGATGATACAGCGGCTTGCGGACGAATAAATCTGGAATCCCAAGGCAACCACCAAGCTGGTGAGCTGAACCTTCCCTCAGTGTTGTCCTATCTTGGTTAAAGAAGAAAACTAGTGTTGTAGGGGTCTGGGTGGCTCAGGTTGCTAGTGACTTTTTTTCTCAGTACATCCCCTCCCTCAAGATAGTGCAATGAAGTAGCTATAGAAACCTTTGAATGTTCAAACTTCCAGCTTTTAACAGTGCATAGATATGCACAAAGCCCCATTTCTGAATCTGTGAGTTCCGTTGCTGCTATAAGCAGTACTGTCTCCCCTTCAGTTTAGCAACAAATGACATTGAGAAAAGC